TAATATTCGGAATTGCTTATTTTAAAATATGTGATTAGCGGGATTATTTTCGTTAATATGTTGTAAACGACGTCTACAATAATAGTATCGTAGTTTTTTTTTATCGTTACATAAAACAATTATCAAAAATCCGACGCCAATATACTACTTTAAACTATATAAATAGTTACGTTACACATTTATTGTGTAACAGCCAATTATGCAAATGTCCGGTATGCTGATCTGATTGGCTAAAAAAATCAAGTGCGATAATCATTTGTCAAAAAAAACTGGAGCTACGAACCATCTTTTTTAATAGAATTGCGCTGACTGACCAAATTTATCATTGATGGAGTATAAAAAGAGATTGCACACGTCTTTCACTTCCATTCCATCTTTACACTAATTATCTTTCATATATAATTATAAAAATTGATAAAACGAGTAAGAGAGTGAAAGAGATTGATCAAGCATTGATCGAAGCCTGAGTGTCACTCAATCACTAGCCAATCACATTGAGGGAGGTGCTTGAGAACGGCCTAAATCCACTTAAAGATGATTGCTATTTTTGGACTTGACGACTCATTATTATTGCCTACGTGCTTTTCTAATTGAGATATTCGTGACTCTTAAAGTTTGAAAATATTTCATCGCCTCTTCCATCTCGTATTTCAAAATCTGGATGCTTTGAATTCACGATCACGAACCACCTCCAAAGGTTTGCATATCGATCAGTCATTCATTGCCTTGACTTCTTTTTGCATTGAAATCTGTGTGGACAAGAATTGAGCTTTCTCGGTAAATAAATTTGGAATGAGCATTGTCATATCGGACCTGCTCAAAGTATTAAGGTTTAATTTACTAGCATCGTCATCGATTCCATTTGATGGAAATGACTGGCCATCGGGAATAGGTCTTGGATTTGCATCTCCAAGTATTTTGAACTGATAATTGTTACCCAATAGTTTTACTTGGCAATCCGTTAGCTTTGTTCCCATTATGAGTTTGAACTATATTGCGAAGAACCTGTGATCGTTGGTGCGATTGCTGTTTCTGAACTCATGGACCAAGAACTATTCGTAAAGTTTTCGAACTATTTTCAGTTATCATATTCCTTAAAAATTGTCGTTTCCTTAATTGTTTCCGTGAATCATTATGGGAAGATGAAATATTGCAGAATCAGCTGAATCGGCAACTCCTACCGAGAGTTCGAAAAAGAGTAAGAAGAATAAGAAAAAGAGCAACATTTCAGTTACAAATACACGCATTCACACGCATTCTTACATGATCAGTAGATAAAGAGAGTTAATGCAAAGTCTGCATCAAATCCTAAAATAACAAACCACAATGAAGATGTTACTCCTGAGTACCAAACAAAGTTTTCCGTCCAATTTCAATCTCCTCCCTATAACCCTTTAATAGTTTCTGTCTTTGTGACTCAAGTTTATGCGACGTTGATTCATAATTTTTGTAATGTTGTCATAATTGGATAGCTTCCCACATTTCACCCCCATCATTAAAATTTCCAAAATTTAGTACACATTCCCGTAAAAAATGATGGCATTTTGCCTAGCTTTTTTGAATCTCTTACGAAATACTTTATTATTTGCCTTTTCTAATCTACCTATCGTTGTTTTTGGGGATTCATTCTTATAAGGCTTCCTCGAGTGCTTCATGTTCTTGGAAATTATTTCTGTGCGTAATATTGACGCACGTTTAGATGCTAATAATTTAAAGTACTTCATGTTATTAGTGCTTCACCACATTTTTGACAAAATAATATTATGAAATTCTACATACAACACGCTCGCCAAGTAACCTTTTTTTTCACTTGCTTCTAAAATAATATTGTGTTGCGTCATTAACGGATTTTTCAATAAAACCTTCCTGCCCATAGCGAAATCACATTCTTAACATTATTAATATATGTTTGAAAAATCCTACACGTTCACGAATTTGTAGGGGACCTTTCTTGGATTTATCCGATTTTTTATAAGCTTCAGCAACTGGCGCCCAATACTCATGAAACAAAAGACATTCGTCCTGGTATAATTTTGTTTAATGCTTCCTCATTTTTACCCGCCTCCTTAAAATAACTGATCATTAAGTACTGTCCGAACAAGGTTAAGGTTTGGATTTGTAAATGAGATAAGTGAGAATGTTCGAATCCAATTACATCAATAAAAGATTTTCATGTTCGAGGATTGGTCGAATTCTACAGGAGCAAAGTTTCGAGTGATGGCCGTTTCATTAAATTATCCAGATAATTTAACCTTTTTCTCCATGTTGAAGAATCAGATCACAAAAGTATTGATGAATATCTGATGCGGCCGTTTTTGTTTCTTTACGTTGTTTCCTCCAATATCTCCGTTAACGTTTTGAGCTTTGATTGTGTTTTAACGCGCAAAGTTACAAAATTATAGTAAATAACAATAGGATCGGGTTCGAGTTCGGTCAATATTTCTGAAAATTAAAAGTTAGGGTTGCAATAAATGTTCAGTATGGCCGAGCGGTCTAAGGCGCAGCTCTCAAGATGCTGTCACGGAAGTGGAATCCCACTGCTTTTCCTTGAAATCGTAATAAAAAGAGTTTAAAATTAAAACAATAAAAATTCACGGAACATCGTTTTTAAAATTAAATTTTTTGAACTTTAAGATTAAATGAGGGTCATTGTTGGAATCGAACCAACTCAGCCTAAGCCAAAACCATTATGACCAAAAAAATATGAGCCACTACCACCCACTATTTGGTAGACCATTTTACCAATCATTATTGGTATTTCATATAGAGCCACTACCACCCACTATTTGGTAGACCATTTTACCAATCATTTTTGGTATTTCATATAGAGCCACTACCACCCACTATTGGTAGACCATTTTACCATTCATTTTTGGTATTTCATATAGAGCCACTACCACTTCATATTGGTAGACCATTTTAAAGTGCCACTACCACGACCTATTGGTAGACCAAGAAAAAAAAAGGAATATAAGTTTAACATTTCAAAGAGGTTCTTATATTATTAAGGTTTACGACACCTTAAAACAGGGAAAAATAGGGATAGGTACCATGCTACCATTCGACCCGAGGTTACTATCATGGTTCTTCACTTATCTCGGGTTGAGTAAGAAAAAAAATTTTTTTTTTGCCGAATTCCACTTGTATTTATAATAATTAAAGTTACACAGAGTCTAAGTTATTTATAGAACATTCGTTCGATTTGATTGGGTGACTTGAATTATATCATTCTAAGCCACCCGTATTGAAATTTGACTTAAAGGAATTTTTTATAAAAATGTCTCAACGAACGTGACAAATACGTAGACAGTGCTAGGGCGATTTCCTTCTACATTTAACTTTAACACCCTTTCTTCCAGCCTTCTCCCACTTCAACAGTACCTTCTTATACTTCCTTTCTTTTACAGCCCTTTATAAGCGTAAAAATGTGAAAATAAGTTTAATTTCGTCTCTACTGAAAATTTTCTATGACAAATAAATCATTTATTATTATTATTATTATTATTTGTCGGTTGTTTATGGTCCAAAGATTCATTGTTATTTTGTTTATTATTCTGTTAGTTCTAATAAGAAAGTTTTTCCTTCTTATTACTTGCTTAGGCTAAACTTTGTCGGAAAAGGTTAATCTCGCGTTCTAATGACATTTCGAAAACTCCCAAATTACAACCAAGTTTAAAGAAGAAAGTTTGCAAAGCTAAGTTTAATTGAGTTTTATTCTAACGAGGTTATGTTTAATTTCGAAAACTCTCGGATTCCAAACTATTCATTAAAGAAACTCTGCTATAAGGCAACTTTTATTGAGACAAAGCTTCGGCGTAAAAGGTTAATCCCGCGTTCTAACGAGGTTATGTTCGAAATCTCCTAGATTCCAAATCTTGCCCCCCAAAAAACAAAGCTTCATTTATGTAAAAAGAATAAATATGGATTATTTTTTGAAATTGGAGGAATCAAGGAAATATGGTTCAATAGTTTGTAATTTTTTTTATATTGCGCAAAATAATTAAAAGGAATCCTAAATAAAAATAAATATACAAGCTTATTACATGTGATTTAATTTTAATGAAACGATTTAATTCTTTCGCCAAAGATAATTTAGCAATTTAAAGACTGACGCAAAAGAAGAAACTCGACAGAGAGGAAATTCAATCGATATCTCGGTTAAGGATTTATAAATCACTTTTTCATCCATTCCAGATATGAAGTTGTAAATAGGGCTTATTTACTATATTAATAATTTAACTAGAAGGAAGTTATATGCGGGTTTAACAATGTTCTTTTTTTCCCCCAATACTATAGAGTGTCTCTATTATTAAGCATTAAGCAACGCAAAAAATGTTTACCCGTTTTCTTAGTAGAAATACTAAATGTTTTGTTTTTATTTGGCAATTTATGAAAGAAAAGAATACATGCATACTAATAAAAAAAATTAATTTGTATATCTTCATATTTATTTAATTATAAGTGATAAATATTTATGAAATGGGAAAAGAATTATTATAATAATATGTCGAGTTTTAATTATGACAGTATAAAATTATATAACTTCATTATCTATCAGGGTTCCGCAATATACACGATTATATACGAAGTAATAAATTATAAAAAAACCAATTTCTTTGATGGATAACGTACAAATTGCAATAAATAAGAAAAGGTTTAATAAAAAGATGCTAATATAGGTGAATTTATCCTTCAAGACTTAATAAGTAATAGTTCCTTTAACTTCGACTTTTTGATTTATCTTATTGTTCACAATAACTATCCACCCATTCTAAAAAGTTTTCGATATTTGAATTTTGACCATCGAAATCTAGTTGGATAAATTTTCTTGACATTAACATTTCTTTAATATTATCTACAATTTTTGGAATATTCTTTACATTTTTAAGACAAGAAACCAATTGTTCTGCATATTCCAAATTGTCTGCTCGTAAAAAACATTCGATAGTGAGTTGTCTTTCGTTAGATCAAGAGTCGGTCCCAGAAATATTGCTCAGTTTCTTTCCAGGTGAAGTCCGTGTAATATTGAAGATGTCTTTTTTAATGTCATCATAGTTAAAAAACATTATAATTATTATTTTTCTATTATTATTGTATAACGAATCAATTCCAAGAATACAGATTCTTTGCCTCTCGCTTGCATATGCATGTTTGGATGCGATTTATCTTCAAATATTTGAAACGAGCTAAAAAAATATTAAGAAAATTTTAATGATTCATTGTCAAATAGTAAATAATGAAAAATATGATTACTAAAATACGTTTGTATATGCAACAATCTTCAACGTACATTTTAATTAAATATATTATACATCATACAAAGAGAATTTCTACTTTTTATAATGTTGATTCTTGAAATATAACCTATTAACGTGTCAACAGCATATTTTTATATTCAAAAATTGATTAAATGCTTTTACTTTATATTAAGTTCAATTATTTTTTTAAAGATAAATAGATACTTAACTGTTTCAACACATTCCATATTTAAAATACTTGAAAATTGAAGGTATATCTCTCTCTTATCGGATTCGAAATTTGAATTCACAAATTTCAACTTTTACTGAAACATAAAAGAATTCAACGCTTGGTCGAATAAAAAGCTCAGTTTAAAAGGGAATAGAGTCATCTAATTTTATGTTAAATTTCGAGTAGATAAATATGATGGAATAATCTTAAATATAAATTGTAAAATCTTGCGTCGTTATAACTTCGATAAATCATCTGCACAAGAATGATAACCGAAGGTTGAATTTAATAACGTACTATTATAATAAATAAAAGATCAATTGATTAAATTGATTAGCATTTTATTTTATGTTTTATATTAAAAATCGCTCAAAACTTACATAAATTTAATAAATCGTATGGCGTGAATTCTTACGTCTTCCATAAGATATAATTTGCAAAGTTCCGAATTGTAATAAGCACATCACAGTTTACGTTGTTTATGATTATCTATCGTCATAATAATCTTATTTTTTCGATGAGAACAAAATAACAAAAAAAAAAAATTCTCGTGATTTACATAATATCTACCTTTTCAACTTTCGTCATTTTGAGTGGTTGCGATTGTCCTTCACTGGTCTTACGAGGATTCCCGTTGTTTTTCCTACACGATTTGGTGAATTTTTCCTTTTTGAATTCTCGTCATTCGAAAAATTTGAAATTTGTTCGACGGGCATGAAGCATCCGGCGAACAAGTAAAATTTGTATTATGATTTTCAATCAAGGTTTGAAGTTGAGGAGTTGGCAATCTTCTAGATTTATTGAGATCGAGAATAGATTGTGCATCATGACATTTAATATCGAATTTTTAACGTTTCCACTCTTTCGTGTTATCGAAGTAATATCACAATTTTCTTAATCGGCCTCAGTTTGAAGTTTTCCCTTGAAGATTTATGAAGGAAACTCTCCTCATATTCACTTTAGTGTTTGTTATTTAAATGGAGAAAAAAATAATGTTCAAAAGCTATTTATATCATTTATTTAAATTATTTCTGATTTCTGATTAACTTCCATATTCGGATGATAAAAGTGGTTTATTTATTGAGCTTAATAAGTTAAACGTGTTTTTCTGCCATGAAGTTTATAAATCAAGCTTGGTTAATTTATTACTGATCACAAACTATCATAGTAGGGCCAAATTAGTTTTAACAAATGGCAAAAGTCGTATTTTATTTATATAAATTTCTTTTAAATATCATATTTTTGAATTATCTTCAAACATTATTTTTAAATTGTCCAAGTATTTTGATGTCATACTGGATCGCGAAAGAAAAATTTAATAAGGTTGGTTTATTTTATAAAAATAACCTATATAGGTGATATGACATTCGTGAAATTTAATGCATGATCCCGGATGATCCCTCAAGATCCGGGGGAGGAATACATTTCTACCCTGGGGTTTTAACCAAAAATAATCCTGGTTGAATTCCGGACTTTTGAGTAGTCGGTTTGCATAATCGATATTCCTGCTTAGCCGTAACAGATTGACACAGAATTCTGGAAGTTTTGAGAAAGTATATAGTCGTTATGACTATTATATTATATGAAAAATTCTAACTTTTCGGTTCAGAGATCAGATCCTTTAACCGTTACACTTCGTATCTGGAAAGATAAAGGATTTTTTATTTTAGAATGCAAATGGTTATTCTAGGAATTTTATATAATTATCGGAAATGAATAGCTTTCTCTCTGTAAGAGATCACAACTGATTTTATAGAATCCCTTCACTTCGAACATAGCAACGTCACTTCCATACAATGAATTGAGATATTCGTCACAGAATAATTGTTATTGAACACGATTTGCCTCGAATTGATTATGTAATTTTCATATCAAAATTTGTAGCGCTTTTAGATCGTTCTTTTTTATATAAAACTTTTTGAAAAATTTCATCAATTCGTTTCGTTTGTTGGAAAAAAACAAAAATCACATTTTACGACCGATATAATAAACCTCAAATATATGCAAAGTAAATGGATTGATCATATATCATTGACTCACTAGGGGTCATTTTATTGAGAATTAAATATAATGCTAATACTAATGTTAAAATACAAACACATCATAAAAATAAATATTAAAATAATAAAATTGTCTTTCTAATAAGCGATTTTCGCCACCGACCAGCGGCAGCTACTCTCAACTCACGAACCAAAAACCCACGAGTAGTTAAAATTATATGAAAGGGTGACGCCCTTGCCGTCTCCCTAGTCCCGACCGTATATCTATTCATCTCGGAGGCCTCTATCGCGCCGATTGTACCTGACGGTTGGCGGACGAGCACCCCATCCATTTCCCTCACCACTCCGGGATCTATAATCATACAAAATTGATTAATTCATACTCAAACTAAATAAACATAAGTCGATTAATACTTACATATATTGTTTCTCTAATTTTTGCTTTGTATAACAAAGCTCGTTCCATCAACGACTACCTTTACATCTATTCCCCCGTCGTTGGAACCTCTGTATTATAAATAAAGAATAAAAATAAAAGTATATTAAGCATATGTGTCATAATAATCAAAAATCAAGTGGCGCGTTCACAGTCGCGTATGTGTGTTTGTACTTTTGATTCGTGATTCGTGTTTCCTACTCACGATGAATCCCTCAGGCGAGTAAGCCAGTGCAGGGATATCAGAACACTTACAGCCGAAACTGTGACCACTCCATTTTACACCGTCAAATAACTTTGCAGAGATACTCACCCTGTCCACTCTGGTTGATATCCTGCATCTATTAATACTTCAACGATACGATATTTCGTTCTAACGCTCTGCCTATTTCGCAAGAATTCATGTTTTAGGTGAGGTTTTGAAATTTTGTTGAAGGAAGGAAGAGTAGAGTAGAGTTTTTCCTTTAATTTTCTAATATATTTTTTTGTGACTTTTAAAAGTTTTATTAACGAAAAATTAGAGAGAGTGTGTGTGTGTGCGTTGTATTGAAATTATAGAGTTCCCCTTTAGTTTTTAATGATAAGAATATATTCATTATTACGTATGTAAACGTGTCGCAATACTTTTTGAGACTATAACCAACAATCATAGTTACATTTTTGTCAATTTCCCACATGCCAATAATGTCTAATAATAAAAATCGATCGATCGTTTTGATAGTTATGTCATATGTTAAAAATATGGCCTGAACAAAATGATTAGGTCACGAGTAAAGCTTTTATCATTTATGCAATGCATATTCCATTAAACATCGATATTTCAAGTTTATAGACATATAATCATACAAAAGAAATTTAATACGTTTAGAATCAAAATTAAGCGAACATTATTTTAATTAGCCAATTTGCTATTAAAGTCACGTTGAAGATCATATGTATGCAAATTGAAATCATTCTTTCCGTGCCTTAGGACTAGATATATTATTGTTGACAGCGCATTCCAATATTATATTTCCTGAAATGTTTATCAATTAGATAAAATTTTCTTCGATATAATTCTACTCTTTTTTGAGTTCCCGACTTTTATTCTGTTACAATATCCGTATGATATGATAAAAAAATTTGACAGCTTTATTATTTTTTTTATACATAATTTTCCGGAATTTTATCGTTAGCTTAAAAAGAAGCATCATACTAAACTAAAACAGAAATTTTATAATGCTGCCTATAGGTGGCGTTTTCAACAATAGAATACACCATACCGTGCTTACCGTTGAGAATTATGAAGATTATTCTGTAAAACTTTCCAGATTTAAATACGTTCGAAAAACTATTGTTAATGATTTTTCAAGACATTTTAGAGAAAACAAGATAATATTAATCAAATATTTCTTTACTTTAGCAGATTAGAAGGGTGGGTTATAAAAACGTTATACGTTACATTATTTTTTTTTAGTATGTATAACTATATATCATAGTTTTTATAAATAAAAAATAAAATTAGCTACGTAATAAATTCGAATATATATGTCGCGGATTGTGTAAACTAAGCAAAACAAACATCATACTGTTTCATATAGTTTAAAATCAAAAACACATAAACAATATTTTCCAACCATCAAAAGTTAATGTAACACCAATTTTATTTTTTTTACAATATTTTCAATTTGTTCTTTTGTTTGAGTACGTTCTCTTTTAAGAATTGAACTATCTAAATTTTGTCGTGATGATAACTTAACAGCTAGATTAGCTAGTTTAAATGTTACTATAATATCCTTATCTTCAATCCATCTAAAAGAAGAACCAGTTACTACAGTATTATGTACTAAATGCTTTTCAAATTGTTGTTGAGTAGTTTTAGAAAGAAGGATAATATACAAATTATGTTACTTACATTTATGATTCTGTTAAATAAAAAATTAAATTAAAAGAAGAGTTTATAAAGTAAAACAATTTTATATATAAAAAATATTAGTACTTACTTTTTTCTATATATGCATATTTTATAGTTGATTCAGAAATTTTTATTTTTGAATGTTTGAATGATCATCATTATTATTATTAGCATCTAAAAATATAACTGTTAATTCTTCCTTTGAGTATTAACTTAAAAAGTATAAGTATTTTTAAGATGATTTTTATAAAGTTTTGAGTATTCATTAATTCTTTATGAGGTTCAACAGGATTTGTATTATAGCAAACTAGATAAATACATGCTTTATTGCTTACATTTGTAAGCTTTAGTAATATTTTAAAATACTTTGTATACATATGAGGCATATGATCTATTAAAAATGTAATTTGTTATGCAAAATACACAAAAATTAAAGAGAAACAAGAGAAATATAGTATTTTTGCTTTATACATTTGGAAAAATGTTATGTAAAAGTAAAAAAATCAGATTGTTGCATATTTTAAAAAATCTCACTTTTTCAACAAATTAGAGATAATCATTTAAATATAAATCTAATCTTAAAATTTATTATATGTAATTATTATTATAATCATTTTATTGTCATTTATTTAAAAAAATTATATGACTAGTTATTTTACTAACTGTAAACTTTATGTAATTGCAAAAAAATTATTACGCTCATTTTGAAATGACTGATCATTTTGATCATTTATCATATAAATTTAAATGACTTGATCATTTGCTAAACCTACGTTGTTTAATATATTTAAAATAGGTTTTTTTGTAAGTAAAAGTTGATCTAAATTGTTTATAATAATAATATTCTTTATCATCTAAAAATAAATCAGAAAATAATAAAGCCTTTAAATTTAAATTATTTAAAGATATTGGTAGCAAAGTATTATTTGGCATTCTGACAAATCCTACTATTAGATATAAATAATAATAAACTTCATTGTAAATTTCAGTATTAAAATTAATATTTAGGATAATAATGTCATTAGATAAAAAAAAGTAGGGCAGAATTATTGTCAAATAGATGAGAAACATTTAGAAAATGATTGGTAATTTAAGAATCAGGTGAATTTAAAAGACAAGAGTAATTTTTAAAAATAGATTGTTTTAACCAATTTATAGCTTAAATTAAAGTATTATTAAGCTAAATATTAGAATTGGTTGAATTATCTTCAAGATAATACTGATTATTCTAGATATAATATCAAAGAATGCATATTTTTTGAAAATTTATCATTTCAATTAAAGTCTTATATTTTATATATATTACATTATATTCTAAATTTCTTCCTAAAGAAAATATATAAATACAGAAGATAAATTATTCGATTATTTAAGAGTATAACTTGAAGTTGATTTGAAATAAAATGAAGAAAAGAAAAGATATAACAAAATTATTTTAATAAAATCTTTTTTTTTTTGAAAACATAAGATGGTTTCAATTTTTTAATAGGATAAAAATCAGTAATATTAAAAACTTGAGTTGAAACATTTTTATCAAGACTAGTATATCTAATAGTAGTTTTCACTTAAAATTTTTCTTTATATTCTAAAATATACAAAATTGTAAATAATTAAGCTGACATTAAATAAATTTTTTTTTTAAACTAAAAAAATGTGGTTTTAATATTTGAGAGAATATTTGATTTTAAATTTTTTTAATTTTAAAAATGAAAAAATTCAATAAAATATTTTTAATTTTTTTTTAAAAAAAAAAAAATTAAATTAATATTCTGTTTTTTAAATTTTTAAAAAAAATTAAATTAATAATTTGCATTTTAAATTTTTTAAAAAAAAATTTTTTTAATTGTTTATTTGTTTATGTAAAAATCATTTTATTTTTCATAAAATTTAATATTGTTTATAATCCAAATATAAGCATGTTATTGTAAATTAACACAAAAAAATAGAAAATTTTATTATATTTTTTAAAAAAATAAAGTAATATGTAAGACAAATAATAAACAATTGAATGATTTTTTTTAAAGAATACAAAGATAAAGATATAACATATAATGTAATAAAAAATATACATACAAAAATATTGTATAAAAAATCTTCAAATAAAAAAAATAATTATAAATATACTATTACAAATAAATTAAACAATATAAAAATAAAATTTATATTATAAACAAAAAAATAAAATAAAATAAATTATTAAATTAAAAAATGTTACAAATGAAAAAACTATTTCAAAAATTAAATAAATTTATAAAAGATAAAATTTAATACATAATAAAAGAAACAATAAATTAAAAAGATAAAATGGGTTAGTACGTACAAAAATCAGGTTTTGATCATATGATTTATATAGTCCCGCAGCATGATTTTCGTACGTACTAACCCAAATATCAAATAAAAATATAACAAAAAAAAAGTTTATAAATTTGTATATTAATGAAAATAAAAATTAATCATAAAAAATATTTTAATTAATATAATATAAAAAAATAAAAATACAAAATACAAATAAAACAAATATAATACGATATAATATAAAATAATAAAAAGCATAACATAACAAATTTTGTATAAAAATTTTTTAAAAAAAAATAAATATAAATAAATATAATATATCATTACAAATAAGAAAAATAAAAAATATCATTTTTTTTATAATCAAAATCTCAAAATACAATTATAACATAGAAACATAAACAACTAACAAATAAAAAAAAATCTACAGTAAACTCTTGATATAACGAATTCTAAGATCTGGATATCAACTTCGTTATAAGCTTAAGTAGGGCAAATTTGGGGGTTCTAGGGTCAAAATCAAATAGATACCCAGAAAGTATTCAATCAAAGGCCAGAAGCCCTTCTAGCTATATGAATCATAAT